TTTTTTGTTTTATTTATATTTAGACTGGTATCAACATTTTTCATTTAATAAAATTTATTGGAAACTCAGAAAATCTACTAGCTATATGTGAAAATGGACAAATAAGTTTAGTGTATAAAAGAATTCTACTTTTATACGGGTAAATATTCGGTCAATTTATTTTGTGGAGAGGAGGAGAAAAAAATAAGAATTTAAAAGTATTTTATTCGAGTCACAAACCCTTACATAATGACAAATAAACAAATAAACTGTTATACCTGCGTTTTTTTAGAGTATCAAAATTTGAATTGAAATTGAATATGTATGTATATATTTTACATATATGTATATACAAGAAATAAATTGTATATTAATTTGTATTTAGGGGCGGCCGACATTCTATATGATCTACATATATGAAAACATATTAATCTCCTTATTTCAACAAAAATTTATTTGAGTATAAAACGTTATGTTTGACAACGGATATTATAGACATTATAATATAACATATATGTATACATACTTATATATATATTTACAAATATATATTTCATTTACATGTCTATATTGTATGAATTTAAATATTTTGTAGTATTTTAGATGCTAATTAAACGTTTAGTTAATTTACAAGAATGAAAATAATTTTAATAATATTTTGAGAGCAAATGAGAGCAATTTGTATAATATTTATTTTTATATATTTACATAATTGTATTTAGTATAACAATATATAGATACCTATAATGTAAACATGTCAAAGGTATATAACATTCATTTAACATTTAACATTTTCAATTAAAAGGTCAATTACTTGTCTAATTTGAAGTTGATTTTTTTTTGTTTTTTGGAATGACATTTTGGCAATTTCAATTTATATATTCTTAAATATACATACGTATATACGTATATATATTGTACATATTTAAATTATTTCAAATAACATTTACATAAATAATATAGCTAGGTTAAATTTCAAAAATTTTCATAAATATAATTCTAAACTAATGAAGATAAAAGGTTAATTATGATGAAAATATTTTATTTTAGTTAATTATAGAAAATAAATAAAATTGGGTTAAAACCAATGGTTTGTAGAGTATACCAATTTTTTTTTCAACAAATTAAAATATTACTTTTAAAAGAAATATTATTTAAATTTTTTTCATTCATTTACAAAAATATGAAAAATAATTGTATACTTTTAGGACGCGGCAAAAAAAAAAAATTGAAAGAGTCGTTAGCATAAAGGACCGAATTAAATGGTTAATAATAGGTAAATGCCTATATATTGTGATGTCATGACATTTACCGTTAGCTTACCACATTTATATAAACTGAAAAAGCTTGCAGTTTTAGAAATATAAGTAGCCGAAAATTCAAATGTTACAAATTCCGAGAGGCCATAGCTTGTGACGGGATGGAGGTGGAGAAAAAATTTTTTCTAACGAAATAAATAATTTTTTAGTATCTGAAACCTACTGAAATCCTAGACTTCTACAACTTGTCTTCTAGAACTCTAAACAATTTCCTTTTGAAGTTTCACATCAAATTGAATACTCTCTACAGGGTTTGGTAAACAATCAATTTAATATGTTATTATTAAAGCCTTCCATTTAAAAAGTGCCTCCGGCGAATTCTCGCATTTTTTCATTATCAAACCTAAAAAATTGTAAGCATTATAATATATCATAAAAGCTTTCATTAAAAAAAGAATTTAAAAATAAAATTAAATTCAAATTTAATTTAAATTCACTACCTTATTCTTTTATAATTATTTTATTTCTAAATTGAAAAGGAGAAAAGAAAAAATTAATTTTTAATGAAACTCCTAAAATTTTTAGAAATTTTTTATACGTCCGAGTAGATAAGTATACATACATATATGTAGATATATTTTTTAACTTTTATACATTCCATTAGAAATTAATGCTTTTATACATTCACCATCCTTATTACTGAAGACTTTTTGAAAAAAAAAACAGAGTATTTAAAATTTTATACAACCTGAGGAACGAATACCTAGATTTGATATAAATATACTTTTGTACAAACCAACCAAGTATATATATTTATGTATATATATATTTATAATTTTTTTTTATTAATGGAGTTCAAAACCGTATTGTAAAACCACAAAACCAAATTGAATAATTTTACAAAATTTTGCCTCCATATTCGTAGATACTTTAAATGGAAAGTATTTTCTAAAATTAATATCTAATAAATTTTGCAAAAGAAAAATTAAAGCAAATAAAATTTCGAAAATTTGGAAAATTTTAATGATTTTGAGAAAATTTTGAAATTACATAATTATATACGTATAGGCTTGAACAGGTTATTCAATGAATTGATTTAAATGGTTTTGTTTTCGTACCTACATGTTTAGAGGACGATGTTTTGCGTCTATGGTTACGTTTTGGTCGCATTGAATTATTATCAAAACGTATGTCAACTAATGGTATACGAGTACTACAGCTAACGAAAGTCAAATAATTTTTCAAGATTTTTGAATTTATATGTAAGAAACTATTTTAAGAATATTAGAAACTTATTGGAAAGGAATTCGTGTTGACCAGCAATTATATTAATATTAAATATTAACCACATACAACACAGGCATACGGCAGTCATAGTGTATCAAGATACTATATACGATCTAGAAAACTGTATATACCGAAAATTAGATTAACTCTTTAGCAATAACCGTTTAGTGATTCACATAATTTTGCCAACCTACTACTTAAAATTTTAATTGTATAACCCTATTTACAAAATATTATGCGATGTACATTTAGCTACAATACGAAACACACGTACATATTATATCATATACATACATACGTACTACAAAATTTCAAATTTGAAATCAATGCAAGTCTTCGCATAACGATCTTAAAAATTCATTAATTTTTCAGAAAAAAAAAATTCATAATTATATGAAGAGGAGAGCCCTCATTATTATTGCTAGAATTTTCATAAATATTCTTTTTTATTGTAATTTATATGCACTTACATATCAACTTACAATAGATTTATATGCGTGCGTAACACATTTTAATCAAAAGTGCGTTCCTATGTGCCTAGCTCTAGCATAATATTACATCAAATTAACCAGGAAAAGAGAATTAAAAAATAATTTATATATTGCACTTTTTCTTTTTACTTAATTAAATATGTGTATACATATATGTACGTTGATGTATTTTAGAAACAATTGAATATAAAAAGTATAATGGGTAATTTTTTAAGCATTTCGGATTTTAATTGTGCAGTATAATTCCAATGGCAATTGCCACAAGCCGAAAAATCTAATTTTCAATAAGAAATTTTTGGTGCAATTTCTGAAAAAAAATTATGAAAATTACAAATTCAAAAATGCATTCGATGCCAAATCATTAATTAAAAAAGGTTTAATTTATCTACAATCAGAAAAATAATTCGAAAAATACATGCATCAATTGGTGGGTCACCGAACACATTTTTAATTAATGTTGAAATGGTAAACCAAATTGGTCTCCTACTGCAAAAAAACAACCCGTTATTCTGCTAGTTAATGTCGGATCAAAGTGCATGGAGGTGGTATATATATATGATACATATGCGTACCTATTTCATGTCCTCGTATTCCAAAGACAATATATCAGACACATCGGTGTATAAATTTTGTAATATTTTCATAAAAAATAGCCTGCAATATGAATAAGAATTTTATTATTTTAATATAAATATGCGTTTAACTTCATAGATATGTATGTATATGCACATATGTACATACATGATTATATATTTCGTTACATGATTATATATTTAGTTAGAATTAATTAGACATTTTATTCTATAAGATTCTATGGTCTTTAATTTTAACGTATACACGCATACATTAATTTCATTCAAATAAAATTTTGAAAATTTTCGTGAAATCTGTTTTCTGATATAAAGTAAATTTAAATTATAAATTCATACTTACAAAATAGCATTACTTTTTTCATAATCACACCAGATTTTCTGGAAGATCACTTATTTTTTGCACCGACGCAAACAAGTATGGAATATTCCATGTAATTCTCGTTTCTAACTTTACATTACAATTAGTAATTATTCTTCAAAGCTTTTCACGCCACGGATGATTGCCCGAGAATTTCTAAGTTAATATTAAATTGTATGTACATCTTTTGATTGTAAATTTGTGTAATATAATAAAAATTTAATTTCAACAAATTTGTTTTATTTTTAATATGAAAATCAAAGAATGTTTGATTATAAATTTAATTTAATAAGATTTTTTGTAAAGACTACTTTAAGACTAATTTTTAAAATGTTTAAAAAAAATGAATTAATAACTATCGATTTACAGTATGCACTAACATCGATAGTTATTTTTATCGACATTAAGCGAGCAGCTCCAGTGTTAGGACATTAACATATTTAATGCTAATTTTGATACAATGAAATTTAGTTTTGCAGTAAATTTTTTAAAGATAATGCCAATGGCTTTTTCATTAATTTATTGTTACCATTTTTATAGTTCTATAACTATTTAAAAAGCGGTAACCAAGCGATTGTACATGAAAGTGGTAACAAAGGCATTGTATTTCGCTTAATCTAGCCCGATTTTCTTATCTAAATTTCCCAACACTGTACAGCAATCAGTAATATTGTCTTTTGCATGATTATTAACACAAACTTAACAACAGAACCGTTTACACTTTGCTTTAAAGCTTCAATTCAATAATTCACCATTAACATAGTTTTGTTACTAACAAAAATTAATCAAAAATGCAAAAATTTATTTAAATTCAAAAAATACTAAAATAATCGTTTAATTTTAGGAAAATGTGTTAAAACTTCAAATGAAAAAAAAACTAATACGAAGTGGATGTGAATGTTATTTGATTTGCAATCACATTTTTGCTTTTGACACAAGATCTGAACATACCAAACGTCAAATCTCCAATAAGATAAATTTGTGTGACGGCAGCGAATTGAACAAACCTAAAGTCACATTTTTTTAAGAAATATCATTAATTGAAGAGTTACGAAAGTGAGATTGATAATTTGTGATTGCCGGTGGAAAGAACTAGAAATTTTTTTGTGAGGAATATATAAATTATATTTCTTGTGTAATATAAGCGATAAAAAAAATCTTAAAAATTAAGTTAAACGCACTCTAACTTTATAAAAAATATTTTTTTGAAATCCTTCATTTAACATAAAATATAAAAAAATGTATTCTGTCGCTAAAATTCTTCGTTCAGCCCCCGTAAGAATGGGATTACGAAACTATGCTAAAGATGTTAAATTTGGTCCAGAAGTTAGAGCATTAATGTTGCAAGGAGTTGATATATTAGCCGATGCTGTCGCTGTAACAATGGGACCTAAAGGAAGAAACGTAATACTTGAGCAATCATGGGGTTCACCAAAGATTACGAAAGACGGTGTAACTGTTGCGAAAGCCATAGAATTAAAAGACAAATTCCAGAATATTGGAGCAAAATTAGTACAAGACGTTGCAAATAATACAAACGAAGAAGCTGGAGATGGCACAACTACAGCAACAGTTTTAGCTAGAGCTATAGCCAAGGAAGGATTCGAAAAAATTTCGAAAGGGGCTAATCCAGTTGAAATTAGGCGTGGTGTTATGCTTGCTGTTGATGCAGTAAAAGATCATTTGAAAAGTATGTCACGAAATGTTAAAACACCTGAAGAAATTGCTCAAGTTGCAACAATATCAGCTAATGGGGATAAAGCCATCGGTAGTTTAATCAGTGAGGCAATGAAGAAAGTTGGTAAGGATGGTGTTATCACTGTTAAAGATGGTAAGACATTGCACGATGAATTAGAAGTTATTGAAGGTATGAAATTTGATCGTGGCTATATATCTCCATATTTTATAAATTCAACTAAAGGAGCTAAGGTTGAATTCCAAGATGCTTTAGTATTATTTTCAGAAAAGAAAATTTCAAATGTTCAATCAATTATTCCGGCTTTAGAATTAGCAAACTCGCAAAGAAAACCTTTAGTTCTGGTAGCAGAAGATATTGACGGCGAGGCATTAAGCACATTAGTTGTAAATCGCTTAAAAATTGGCTTACAAGTCGCAGCTGTTAAAGCTCCAGGTTTTGGAGATAACCGAAAATCAACTCTCACAGATATGGCAATTGCTGCAGGAGGCATAGTATTTGGAGACGAAGCTAACTTAGTAAAATTAGAAGACGTTCAAATTTCTGATTTAGGGAAAATTGGTGAAGTTGTAATTACAAAAGATGATACACTATTTTTGAAAGGTAAAGGAAAGAGAGAGGATGTTGAACGTAGAGTACAACAAATCAGAGATCAGATAGAAGAAACAACTTCCGAATATGAGAAAGAAAAATTACAAGAAAGATTAGCTAGACTGTCCTCAGGTGTTGCATTATTAAGAATAGGAGGTTCAAGTGAAGTAGAAGTAAATGAGAAAAAAGATCGTGTAAATGATGCTTTATGTGCAACAAGAGCTGCAATTGCCGAAGGTATTGTACCAGGTGGTGGTACCGCACTTTTAAGATGTATTCCAAAGCTCGATAAATTAAAAGGAGAAAATGAAGATCAAAATACTGGTATTGAAATTGTTCGCAAAGCCTTAAGAATGCCAACTTTAACAATAGCTAAAAATGCTGGTGTCGATGCAGCCATGGTAGTTGCCAAAGTAGAAAACCTTGATGGTGATGTTGGTTATGATGCTATGGCTTCAGAATATGTTAATTTAATTGAAAAGGGTATTATAGATCCAACAAAAGTCGTTAGAACTGCCTTAGTAGATGCTTCTGGTGTTGCGTCACTACTCACAACTGCAGAAGCTGTAGTTACAGAGCTTCCAAAAGAGGAAGGTGCTGGTGGTATGCCTGGTATGGGAGGCATGGGAGGTATGGGAGGAATGGGCGGAATGGGTGGTATGATGTAGATTCCTTGATTTGAGAATTTTTTTTTTTTTTTGTTAAATTTTGCATATTATATATGTCAGTACGTAGCATTTTACTTTTCGTTTCTGTTCATTTTGGCAGAATATGATTTTCATAATATTAATTTCATTAGTCAGTAATTTTTCTATATTTTAATTGTGAATAGAATTTTTCACATTTTATATATAAAATAGACGTAATAAAATGTTAAAAAAACGAGAAGAAAAAAAACTTTTATTTTTTTGATAAGCCAAACATTGACCCTTATGTTATATCGCACGCACTTAGTTACACATGAAAAAAATGCTAATGATCTTGATCTTAGCTAACCTCTAGGTCATATAACAATGAAGATATTCTATGTATCTACAAGAACTGACGTAGAAGTGAGGAAGACATGAACGAATATTTGAATTTGAGTTTTTTTTTTAATAACTCCATGAATATTGATCATTGGGATTTGAGTATTTTTAGAAAATTAATAAAATTTATACGTGGCATGCACATAATCTACAATTAAAGAATTAAAAAATCTTGATAAAGATGCATATTTCTTATATATTAAATTTCAAAATTTTCAAATACTCGAATTATTTAAATTTTACAATTTTAAAAACTATAGCTTAGAATAAAAAATAACAAATTGAAATGCGCTAGTATTATAGTAGGGGGTGAGTTTTTAATTATAAGATAAAATTTATTCCTTTGATGCCATATGTCCCATAAGATTGCTAGTAAATTTTTCAACCTTTTTCAAATCTGGTACATGTTCAGCTTTATATTGCAAGCACTAAAATAATATTTACTTTTTTATATGAGTTTTTTTTTCTTTTGAAATTTTCAATTTACCTTAACATTATCAGTAACTTTTAGTAATAGGCAACCTTTGGAATGAATATATTTCATTGTATACCGACAAGATTGTGGCTTTTCCATATACATTTGGCTAGCTGCTATTTCAAAATCTTCAAAATCTTTTACATACACCATTATTATATCTGAAAATTTACTATTATTGTCGTGTTTTCTTAAAAAAATTCAATTAAATGTAATTTGACAATATAAATTAGACACGTGCGCTGTAGCTTACTTTGACATTTGAAATGTTAACGTTATTCGTGATTACAAGACTTGATGTCTATGCAACATGTTTCTTGCATTATGCATATCACATTTTTTGCTAAAATTAAACACACTTCCCTACAGTCCACAATTTCTTTATTTTTTAGTGAGAAATCAATATTGCATATCTCACTTCTAGCGTTAAACTAAATTAATGATTTAAAGTAAGAGTTTTAGAATTCAAAATTTGAAATCACAACAGTATTGCATTCCTGTAATACCTTAATTATCCTTTGATAGTTTGAACAAAAATGATTTTGCATTATGAGTTTTCCCAAATTAATGTTTATAAACATTTCAAGTTACATAAATTACGAACCCTGTTTTTTATTTGCTGTTTGCAACAAGTACTTTTGAAAGTAATCAATTTAATACTCCTTTGAATACCTATACGAATGATTACAAAAAAGAGCATATGATTTTGACACGCCGTATTGTTGACAACAAAAAACAATGTGCTAAATTTTATTTCAAAACTCCAAACTCATAAAGTGTAACAACTTTTTGGAAATTCATTAACTTAACAATTATTACTCACTAGTTAACGTAAATTACAAAATGTTACGCAGTTTTAATTTAAAAAAACCAAACTAAAAGATTTATAAAATAACTTAAAAAAATCCATAAATGTTTAGGAATATCAAAATTGCTCTTCAAACCTCCATTCCATTAAATGTAAATAAGTTTCGTGTTTCCACCTTAAGTAATTCAAAATTGAAATTAAATAAACTTCTAATAAGTATGCCAAAAGAACGTGAACATATTGCTGAAGCGCAAAAGCAGAGGCAAAAAATTAAGGAAAAAAGTTCAAAATATATACCCGGCACGGTTAATTTACAAGTTCTTGGGAATGGATCAAGTTCAGCACCAGCTGTTGTTTATTTATTTACTGATCAAAATAGATATTTGTTTAATTGTGGAGAAGGTACACAAAGATTAGCTCATGAGCATAAAACAAAATTATCACGTTTAGAGCATATTTTTATGACACGTACAAGTTGGGATCGTTTAGGTGGTTTACCAGGTTTAACATTAACAGTTCAAGATTCTGGTGTACCAAATTTAACATTACATGGACCACCCGGTCTGGTAAATTAACTCAAAAGAATATTTCTTTAAATGTAAAAGTAAACTTCTTTTTTTTTTATCAACAGGATGAAATTTTTCGTGGAATGGAACGTTTTGTTGTCCTAAAAGATTTAAAAGTAAGTACTGTAAATTATGAAAATGGTGGAGATTTTGAAGATCAAGTTATGACAGTAAAATGTATTCCATTAAAAATGTAAGTTTTGTTTTTTTTTTTTTTAATAAAGGAGCAGATTATTAATTTTTATGATTTATAGTGATAAATATGAAAACAATAATGATGCCAAGTCAAGTGATTTAAAAGAAGAAATTCCAGAGATTGATGATACAGATTATTATGAATATGAAAGTAAGTACCTACCTACCTAGTTTTAGTATATAAAATAAAGATTTATTTTGAAATTGAATTTTTATTTTAGATAAAAAGAAGGATGAAAGACAATCACCAATTTCGATTAATGTTAAAAATATTTCATCAGAAAATTATCAGCGAAGAGAAGAATTTATGACTTGCGCCTACATATGCAAATTGAAGGTAAATTACGAGCACATAGAAATTATTTCATCATCTAATTTATTTTCGCCTCAGATTTTTTATGGTCATTATAAATTTGTATTAATTCGTTCCGGGACAACTCTTTATAAATATAAATTGTATCCCAATTATCGTTTATCAAATATTTTGGCAAATTAATGCGATTATTCAAATCTAAAATAAAGTAATGATTTTTTGTTTCATTACTTTTAAAATCCAATAAAGATTCATTTGCATTTGTAAGATTTTTCTCGTTACTCAATAATATATCATTTTTTTCAATTGGGATTTTTGGAGAATTGAAATCAAAATTAAAAATGACACGATGTATATGATCTTTAATTGCTTCAAAAATCATAATTTGAATTTCTTCTTTAGTTAAAAATTGCTTTTCATTATTTTCATTAAAGTTATTTTTAAGAGAATCAAATATTTGATTAATTTCTGATTTTATATCAATTGCATTTATAAGTTTTTCTTTAAAATCTTTATGAAATATAGAATTTTTATAATCAATAATTGCCTGATTTTTATCTAAATATTGTAATTCAATTCTCTTAATTTTATATAATGATGGTTCTGTTGATATTAGAGATGAGAACGGTTTTGATTCCCTTATTTTATATTTTGAATTACAGAATGATGGTTCTGTTGATATTAGAGATGAGACCGGTTTTGATTCCCTTATTTTATATTTTGAATTACATTCAGTAGAATCAGAATCTATACTAGAACTAGATGATTTGCATTGACATAAAAATTTTTTTGATATTTCTCCAGTTGTTACAAAAGTGCACAATGGTTTTATTAAAGAATCACACATATTTGTATTGTATTTGATTCCAAAATCAGAAATTTTATTGATGGCATTATCAAGATGTTTTTTAAATGTATCAACAACACATAGATTAATTTTATTTCCATCTCGTGAATCTTTATTGAAATGGTTACTGAAATGATATTAAAAAAATTGGACGAATTGGAATAAGAATGAAAAGTTTTTAAAAACTTTACCATTGATTCATTTTTATTAAAAGTTGTTTAAGATCAACCAAAACTTGTAAACAATTTGTTTTCAATTTCTGGTATTTTAACTTCTGTTCACTTTGTAGTGTACCGATAAAATTTAAAAATGATGCCATTTTTTCAATATCTTTAGCATTTTGTTCTTTAAATCTTCGTTCCTCATTTTTTCTAATATAATCACTAATTAAATCAACAGTAATTGCTTTATTAGCTACTTCAATATCTCTTATATCATCTTGTTCATCCTTATCCATTTGGTACTGAATACAATCTAATTCTCTTTGCATTTTTAAACGTGAAAATTGAATTTTCTCATAACAATCCTCAATTAATTCTTTCATCATTTTATCATATTTTTTATCATATGATTTTTTAATTTTTATAATTTTATTTTGAAATTTTTCAATAATTTTCTTACGAAATCTTTCAAATTTTTCATTATTAATTTTATTTTGTTTGTCCAATGCATAACGCAGTTTTAAATTAGCTTCGAAACGTTCAAATTCAGAATTCTCTTGAATTGCTTTTTGTAATTTTAAATTTTCTTTCTCTTCAATCATTTTTTGAAGATTTAAGATTTGATCTCGTGAATAATTCAATGATGTTGCATTTATTGTATCTACAGAATTAGTATTAATCTGGCATTGTTCATGTTCCGATTTATAGTCAACTGGGATATTATGCCCTTTATTAGTTTTCAATAACATTTTTGCTATCGGTGACATTTGATCATATAAAATTTTCCCAAAAATTTTTCCTTGATTTTTATATAATTGTTCCAATGTTGGAAAATCTTCTTTTTCCAAAAGTTTCATTCGTTTTTCTAAACATTTGATTATTGTTTTCGATTCAGGTAAACAAGAATCCATTTTGTAGCACAAAAATTAATTGATTTGTTTTTATTAAATTTTGATATAACCGGAATTTTCTACAATTTTTGATTTAAAAAAATTAAATTAGATTTATTTCTGACAAAAAACAAAATATTTCTTTTAATTTTAGCCTAAACCTGGATCATTAAATCTAGAAAAATGTGTTGATAAAGGTGTACCACCCGGACCATTACTGGGTCAACTTAAAAATGGTTTTGATGTAGAATTACCGGATGGAACAATTGTAAAGTCTGATGATGTACGGGCTCCAACTGATCCTGGGCCTGTATTTATATGTATGTAAAATATTTAATAATTATTATTTACTTACATAAGGTTTTAATATTTTTAAAATTTTAGTTATCGACGTTCCAAATGAAGATTATCTAGTCGCATTAGAGAAACAAGCAAATTGTTTTGAAGATTATCAAGCAAAATCAGAAAATGAAGATAATAAGGCTATTTTAATAATTCATTTTACACCACAGAATATTATACAAACAGAAGCATACAAAAAATTCATGATGAAATTTCCAAATACAACTCAACATTTAATATTGAATTCTTCTAATAGGTAAGACTATTATAGCCTTTCAAATACTTTTAAAATATATAGCTCTAAATATTTTTTATTAGATTTTCTGGTTATGTAGCTACTCATCGTATTCAATATCAATTAAATCAAATTCACAGTGGAATCTTTCCATTGCTTAAGTAAGTATTTTTGTTGTTAAATTGTTCGAGTCGGTTTTCTTGTCCAATTTAATATCGTTAAAAAAATTCTTTTGTTTCCTTTTAGGGAGAGCATAGATTTAAATATAGATCAATTAGAAAGGCCAACAAAAAAGTTGAAATTATTACCAGACAATATTAATTCACAAATTAAAATTATAGAAAAAGAAAATTCTCTTAATTGTATACCAGATGTAATTACTTTAACTTCTTTTAATTTAAGACCAAAAAAATCATTAGATAGATCATATGAACCTCAATTTACACCAGATGAATATATTGAAGAAACCCATGCGGTAGAAGGATTTTTAGAATCACTTCATAATTTCAAAAATATTTATAATAAAATAAATTCTGAAGAGAATGATGATTCTATTACAAAATTAAATTATCCAAAAATTTTATTTCTGGGAACAGGTTCATGTATTCCCAATAAAACACGCAATGTTAGTTCAATACTTTTAAATATAAATTCTAGTTCTTGTATATTATTTGATTGTGGTGAAGGTACTTGGGGTCAAATAATAAGATTCTATGGAGAAAATGAAGCATTAGAAATTTTACATAATTTAAAAGCGATATTTGTTTCACATTTACATGCAGATCATCACATAGGTAATCTTATATTACTGAAAGAATTGTTATTGTTGCATACTTATAATAAACTTATTTAATATATAATTTTTACCTTCAGGTCTAATAGGATTATTAAAGGCTCGCCAATTGTTAAAAATTGAAACACCCATACTTCTATTTGCCCCTGCACAAATTAAAAATTGGTTAAATTTTTATGATAGACGAATCGAAAAACTTTCTACAGAATATTCTTTAATTCCTAATGCTGATTTGGTATAAATTTTTTAAATAAATTTTCTATAATAACTAATAATATCATTTTAATTCTTTAGATTACAACCCCCTATAATACATTATATACAGAAGAAATGGGTATTAAATCTATATCAACTTGTCTAGTACGACATTGTCCTCATGCATTTGGTATTGCAATTGAATTAATTGAAGAATTTAATATGAAACCAATAAAAATTACATATAGTGGTGATACAATGCCATGTGATGAATTAATTAAATTAGGAATGAATTCAACTATTTTAATACATGAAGCAACAATGGAAGATGAATTACAGCATGAAGCAATATATAAAATGCATAGTACAGTTTCACAAGCTATAAGTCAAGGTGAAAGAATGCAATCACAATATACAATTTTAACACATTTTAGTCAAAGATATGCAAAATTACCAAGAATTGAAAATGATATTGGACAAAAAGTTGGTCTAGCTTTTGATAATATGGAAGTATGCCTAAATTAACGTTGTATAAAGCTTTTATATAATATTAATTTTAATTTTTTTTTTAGATATGTTTAAAGGATATTAAATATTTACCTTTAATGTATCCAACTTTAAAAATTATGTTTACAGAACATTGTGAAGAATTAGAACAAAAAGCTGTTAAACGTGCCCTCAAAAAAGAAAGAAAACGTCAATCGATACCAGAAAATAAAAATTTTAAAGAAATTACTAGATGACATTATAAAAGAAATTTGAATTTAATTAAATCAGAAAAAAAAATTAAAAATTTTATAGGATTTTTCAAAATACAATTATAATTATACTTATAAAAATTTATTAAAATATTAAAAATTTTTGCATAAAATGCTAAAATTCTTTAAAAATAAAAAATTAAAAAAATATTAAGTATTCTCAATTTTTAATTTAATAAAATTATTTTGTTCTAGTTGGAATTTTAGTATTTTATTTACTTTAATTAAGAAGTGGATCGGATTTTGTTAACATGAAATTGTTGTAAATTTATAAAATTAGTAAATTCTAATTCAAAGGTCACGAGAAGAGCTTAGTACACACCACTGTACTAAGACCTATGAATTTGAATTACAAAATTTATATTATTTCTTAACAGGCACTCATAAATTCTATTTAATTTTAAGTATGCTAAATCAGAGAATTTTCAAAAATTCACTTTTAATTTAGTTCTTAATATGAAGCATGTTTTATATATCCAAACTGGAAAGTCTGTAAAAATACCAGAATTTTTCATAAACGCAATACTGCAAACACAATACTGCAAAAATATAACTTGATAAATATGCAATAAATTTTTCTATAAAATTTTAATTATTCTATAAAATCAAAACAGTTCATAAGATTTAACTGCGCTGCTCATACTAATTTCGCAGTGTTACTAAAAATTAGTCACGTATGTTGCAAATTAGGTTTCCTATATTTGTTTATGAACACAAATATTTCGCAATTTTCACTGTATATCGCAATATACAGCGTTTACGAAAAGATCTACTATGTTCGAAAATAGCAGTTGTACTTAAAATTCTAAAGGAATTTTTAAATGTTTTTTTTTTTTTTTTAAACTACTGCCAAAAAATATAATAAATTAGAAGTTGAGCAGAATAGAAAAAATGTTTGATATTATTTCACAATTAAATTTTTTTCTTTTTTTTTATTAGATGAAAAAATCTCGAAAGACGAAGAAGGACGGCGCTATCTGCCTTCTTCCTCTGACAGTGGAAGAGTGTAACTCCTACCCTAAAAAATCACCTAAACTCTGAACAGATAAAACTGGTCCTACAGACCACCTCTGCGCTAACTTGGTTTTTCCGTACAGGAATTAAATACCTATTCCATAAGGAAATCGGTATTTCGTGTTAAATTAAATAAATTTAACAATTAAATCGAGTATGTTGCAGGCCTGTGAAATCAAAATACATATTCAATATGTGTGGATTTCTGTAAAAATATTCAATTTTTCTACGAAATTTCTAAACTATCGAAAATACACTATTTGCTTCTAATTTAAAGGGGACGAGTCTAGCATAATACTACTTAGCAACACCATTAACACTCAGCCGCATCATGAATTCCCCTGGTTAAATTCTAAGAATTATGAATTTAGCTACGATTTAAATGATCATAAATTGAGGATTATTTTTTACTATGAACTTAATTTATGATTACCCTGTTACGAATATTTTTAGTAGAATTTTTAGAAATTCGAAATTGAGAATATGAAATTCGGAAATTTTTCTGAATTTCAGAGCTACGAACGAAATTCATTATAGGGCGGGCTGATTATATTTGGCCTACACCCTTATAAACTGAATTAAATTTTAAGGATGGAAAATAATTTGTAATTGAAAAGCACTCAATTTTTTTTTAATATTTTAAATATTTTATTTTTTGTTGTTTTTTTTTTCTTCCTTTTTTTTTTTTTGTTATTATCATTATCATTATTATCGCGACACTATAATTTTTTTTTTATTCTTTTATAATAAATTTTTTTTTTCCATTTAGATTTTTATTAAATCTTACATTCTTTTTTTTTTTAATATTTTATTTTTAAACATTTATTATTTTTTTTTTATTTTATTAAATCAATTCATTTAAAATTTTTTTTTTGCCTCATTTTTTTCTATTTTTTATTTTGAAAAATTTTTTAGTTTTATTTTTTTAAATTTTATTTAATTATGGAAAATATGAAATTTTTCTATTTGTTTTTTTTTTTTTTATGGAATCCTGTATGCAAGTCTTTTTTTTTATATTTTGTTACATAATATTGTGTTTTTTTTATATGTATGTAGGTATTATGTAGTTAATGTATATATTTTATGTGTTATGTATGCATGCATCATGTGTTGGGAAAATTTTAAGAATTATAAAATTTTTTTCTTATTGCATAATGTAAAAGGGATTTTTTTTTTTGATTATGTAATCATTTTATTTATTTTAATGATTTTTTGTATGTTTTTTTGTTTAAAGCGAAATATTTTTATTTTTTTTTGTTATTCAAATTTTTCTTAAAGTTTTGTAATTTAATTTTAATTTTTGAAATTTTTTGTTTTTTTGATCAATTTTTAACAATATTTTTTTTTTTTTGTTTTTGTTTTCTTTTATTTAATTTTATTTTTGATTTTAAATCTAAATAACCTCTTAGTGTACATAAATAGTTGCTCTGCTTTAATATTTAAATAGTTTTTCATTTTATTTAATTAATTTATTCTTTTTTTTGTATTTTTTTTTTGTATTTATTATTTATTTTTATTTATTTTTGTTCTTTATTTTAGACTTTAATTAAATTTAGCATTTTTTTGTTGTTTTGTCTTGAATTATTAATTAATTTTTTTTATATTTAAGCTTTTTATATTACAAATTTTATTATTTTTAATTTTTAATTTTTATTTTAATAAAATTTTCTTATATTGTTATTATTTTGGAAAATTACACTAAAAACAAAATTATTTTTAAAAAATAAAATGCTTTCAAATTTTAATTAAAAAATGGAAAATAAAGAAAAATTGAAAAATAATATTTAATTTAATTCAAATCGAATGCTATTTAAAATTTCTCAATTAAATAGGATAAATGCGAAATATTGCTAATAGGGGAGTAAGAATTATTATAATAGAATAGGCCATTCATAAACGCATTATAAGAGTAAAAAAAAAACTGCTGCAAACTATACTATATTTGTTTTCATAAACAAAAATGTTGCTAATTTACTTTTATCATAGACATTACTAAATTTTGGCAATATAGTGAAATTTTAGTATATTAATAACGAAGTAAATTCATATGAAATGTTTAGATTTTATACAAAATATTGGTAATATAGTGAAAAATATTATTGCATTACGTTATAGAGATTTTCATAAACGCAATACTACAAAACAATATTTTTGACAATTGTATAAAAACTTTTGCCATTTTGAATTTACAGTATGTATTGTGTTCATAAACAAAAAATGTCGTTAGCATTTAAAAAATTTTATTTATTTCGGCCAGATAATAGAAAATTCTATTTCAAAAGAAATTTTCTTATATTTAATTACAACAATTTACAATTAAAAATTTAAAACCAAATTGCAAAACCTAGTAAAAAAAAAGTACAGCTGATTTAATTGCACTAGCCATGATTTTGTGATAGATTAAAAATGTTTATGAACAAACACTGATTAGCAACATTTATTTATGAACACAAATATAACACAGTTCTCGCTATATATCGCGATATACTGTGTACATAGGCATATGCCTATGTTTTTGCAGTATTTGTGGTTCCACAATATTATTGTTTTGCAGTGTATTGCGTTTATATTGAAATTTTTTGTAATATAATTATTATTGACTAATTAATTAGAATGGAATTGTAGAGCATTTTATAATATTAGGATATTTTTTTTTATATTCTACTTCAGCATTAGATTTTATGTTTTTTAAATAAAGCAATTTGATTTATGTGGTGAGCTTTATATATGAGAGTAATATTGCATAGCAAATATGTAGCTTTAATAGTACACACCAATACGTTCCAAAAATATTAATGCAATTAGAATTTGATTAGAATTTTTCGATTAAAAAAATTAATAACGAGAAATTTATAAATATGTCAATTGTCTTGAAATATATTAAAGAGAAATTAGGAAATTTTTTAATTATAATTTTTATAAATTTTATTAAAATTAGTCTTAAATATTCAAGATAATAATAAAGAGTATGAATAATAAAATTTTTATTATTCTCATATTTTAAGAATCTGATTAAAAAAAATTTTAATCATCTGACAATGTTATTCAATATTTAAAATGGCGAGAATATTTCAAATGGCGAGAATATTTGAAATGGCGAGAATATTTGAAATGGTGAGAATATTTGAAAAAGGGTGAGAAAATTCAATTGAAAAATAATTGAGTAATTTGGAATTGTGAAAGCTCTCATTAAATTAATAATGAAAAATTGTTATTTAAAAATTACTAAATAAGGTGAGTGAAATAGTGAGATATTTTAAATAATAATTAATTTTCTTTCTCTATCATAAAATAAAAAAAAATTCAAATTTTGTTTGACTTATGCTTGTCTGTCAAAAGATTTTTAAATTTATTTTAAGTAAATTTTAAATTTTACATTAATTTTTAAATTAAAAAATCTATTTTAATGAAAAATAAAAATAAAAAAAATTTTTTTATAATTATTTTATATAAAAAAAAATTTTATATATTTATATATTTATTTTTTTTTTTATTTAAAAATTATTTTACAATTTTGATTTATAAGCTTTCAAATGGCATGTCAGTGTTGTTACATGCTTTTATTTTTTTGCATTTTATTTATTTTAAATTTTTTAATTTAAAATTTTAAATTTGATTTTATTTATTTTTAGTGGAATAAATTAAACTAATTTCATTTAATTAATTATTAAATTAATTTTAATATTTTGTTTGTTGTTGTTAGTTTTTTTTAATGTATTTTTTTAATTTTTTTAATTTTTTTTTTATAAATAATTTTCTTTTCTCTTCAAATATTTATAACTAGATCTTAAAATAATTTTATTTTGTTGTTGAATTTTTTTTCTTATTAAATTTATTATTAAATTTTTCCTTATTCTTGTAAATTTTTAATATTAATTTTATTTAAAAATAAAATGTTAAAAATGAAAGAACAAAAATAAATATTTTTTTTTTATCAAGTTGTTATTTTTATGCTATAAAATTAAACTATTTTTTTTATTTATTCTGCAATTAAAATTATAATAAAAATTTTTTTCAATTTTTTTTATTTTTGTAATTAACATTTTTAATGTTAAATTTTGTTTTTTACATTTAACGGAACTTAATGTTTAATAATGCAAATATTTATTTTTTTCTTTTTTGTAATAAATTTTTTCTTAAATAAATAATGTAATAAGGCTTGTAAAAAATTTTATTTTTTTTTCATTTCTTAATATTTTATTTATCTATTTTTCTATAAGTTTTGCATATATATAAATAAATATATGTTAAGAGTATAACAGTTAAGTAATTTTTCTTTATATTTATTGAATTTATTTTATTATTTTATATATTAAATTAAATATTATGAGAATATTATATTAATATTTTTTTTTATATGTTTAAATATAAGTATTTAAAATTTTGAAAAAATTCGAAAATTCAAAATGAATAAATTATAAATTTTTTAAATATGTTAAAAAAGAAAGTAATATTTATTGAATCAGTTTAGATTCAAGACATAATAAAGATAAATATGCTAGTTATTATAATAAAAATCTGGGGCATGTGCAATTTACGGTCGAAATTTCATGTAGCTCGAACAAAAACATCTCCAAAATATTATTAAATTCTGGCCAGTTTATTCGGATAATTAATTTAATTTTTAGTATTCTTTGGAACTGTCTGCTTTTAAATGCTTATAAAATAATTTTACCATTAGTATTTAAAGACGTTGCTAAAAGTAAACCAAAAATCACGCAAAATTTCAAGTTTAAAAGTTCGAATTACTGTTTTATCTACTATATTGTGAAAATATTTTTTTAAAAAATTTTCTAATAACATTTCACATTTGTTTTTTTTGGATCTATTTGAAAATGGTATTGCCATTTGGGACCCTAAATACATTTGCTTATTAACTTATAAAATTATATGCTTCATCATATTGATGTCGTGAAATACTCAATTGCTAATCTTTCCTATTTAATTTCTCTAATTTAATACTTTTACTATATCTAATCCGGCCAGTAATCCTGCAACGATTGCACACACTAGCATTAAATCATTAATTTACATTAATTAATTCAATAATATTATTCAAAACCTTTAAAATATTTACTTGAATTACCGATTCTTTAGCATCAAAATTAATTATACTTTTAGAATTGAGAGCTAAAATTTTAACAATAATAATAAATTCAATATACTATAAAATTATAATGAAAATAAAAAATAAATAATTAATTTATAAAAAATATTCTATAAAATTTTTAAGGCCTAATATCATTAATAATATGAAGAAATTTTTAAAATTATTTTTGCAATTTAATTTGAATAAAATATTAAAACATATTTATGTTTTAATATTTTATTAAAATATAACATAAAAATATTATTAAAAAATAACCTTTTTAAACTTATAATTTAATAATAATAATTACAATAATAACAAATTTTTAACAAGCTGTCTATATAATATAATGTATGGGTATATGAATAATTTATAACATTTCAAATAATTAGAAAAAAAAAAAAAGAATTTTGTATAACATTATATTTTATAATATAATCCATTAATACAAGTGAATTGGTTTTTTGAAAATTTTTAATAATTTATAAAAGCAAATAGGATGTAGAACAGATTATTGGATCATAACAGTCCCAATAATTTATTTGGGTTATAAATTAATCCGGTACATGTTAATTTATATAGAATTTGAAATTACAATAAAAATAGAGTGAAAAAATTTCCCGAATCTGAACCGAAATTCAATGAATTTATTTATATTCACAATTATTGAAATATTATGACTCTTTTTACAAATATTATATTAAAAAGTATAATACTTTACAATACAATTTATTTAAATACATATTTAAAATTTGTATACAAAAAAAAGAATAATTTTATAATTTATATAAATAACAAAATAGTAATAATAAAAATTTTCTAGAAAAAAAAAAAAGCAAAATTTTTTTTTAACTTTATTTTTTTTTGCTATTTTATAAATTATTTATGTATAACAGTTTTAGTTTTTATTAATTTTAATTAAAAATTTTTTATTTTTATTATTATAGTTTTGATTTTGGTTTTTATTTTTCTCATTTTTATAATAAATAATTATTTTATTTTAATATAATTATAATTTAATAAAAAAAAAATTTTTTTTTGTTAATTTTTGTAAATTAATTAAGGCTTTTATTATTTTGCTAATATTTTTTGTATTGTAACTTATTACAATATTATTTATTTCAAAAATTAAAATGAAAAATTTTTTAATAATAAAAATTAAATTAAGAGAAAAAAAATTTTATTTAATTTGCTTTTTTTTCAAAATTTTTTCTAATTTAGAATTACAATACATTTTTTTCTTAATTTTTTTATAATACACAATAATGTTATACATATTTATAAATATTTTTAATTTATAAAAATTATAAATATTTTTATATTTTATTATGTTGTTTTTGTATAATGTTTATAATTAGGTGTTTAAAGATTAAATGTGTGTTGTTTGTTTGTTGTTTTGTTTTGAATTTATTCTTATATAATAGTTTTTAAATATTTTTTTTTTGTTAGCTTTTAAATGTTCTTCAATTTATGTATGTTTAGTAAGTATATAATAGATTTTATATAATAAAGTTTTGTTTTTTTTGGAAATTTTTGTTTTTATAATTAAATTTTTATAATTAAAGAATAGTATAGATTAATAGAAGCGCGAGTTTTTTTTCTTTTATTTTATAATTTATAATTTATTTTGCATTTTGCATTTTATTTTTAAGAGTAAATGCAATTTTATTCAAAATGTTTTTTTTTGTTTTTGATTTTCAGTTCAGCTTTTTTGTTAAATTATTTAATTATGAAATTTTTTATTATAATTATTTTGAAATTTGAATGCATTTAGTTCTTAAAACATGTTCTATTATTTTATTTTTTTTTTTTAGCATAGTTTTATAAAGCGATTAATTAAAATATTTTTGTTTTTTTTTTCCTGCTATAATTTTAAAATCGCTTAATTCTTTCTGTTTGAAATTATTTTTAAATTGTTAAAATCGCTTGTTGTTTTGTATATAAAAATTTTTTTTTTTTTGCAATTACAATGAATGGATTTTTGTATATTGCCAATGATAATTTAAAATGAAAATATTTTTAATAATAACATACAGTAAAATTTAAATTCAGGGCGTAATCGGAATAATATATATTCTTAAACAATGCAATAACAATTAAGAAAGAAAATATAATTAATTTAGAAAGAAAGTATAATCGTTTTAAAATGTAATATAAAATATTTTGATTTCAACTCACATGATTGAATACCCAATATTATAAATAATTAATTAATTAGAATAATATTATAATAATATTTATATATTATAATTTTCAATATTATATATTATAATATATTCTGAATAATATTAAATTATATTATTACTTTTGCAATAATGTGACAATAATTACAATATAATTTACATGTTTTCTCTATTTCTTTGCTCTTAATCAACAATTTATATTGTTATTGTAGTTATACAATATTAATTTTTTACTAAACATAATTCAATTACAATAATAAAATTTAAAATAAATTTATAATAATATTTTAAATTCTAATTTTGTTTTTATAAAATTAATAATTGTGAAACAATTACAAAATAAATTTAATTCAAAATTCTTTTAATTTCTACATTCGATTTTACTCATTACTACCAAACCCATATTCTCTCAAATTCTCCTAAATTTGTTCTCTTCTTTTAAATATATTTTTACTGTATGTTATATCATAATGTTAATTTTAAGTGATAGTTTGATTTTAAGTGATAATGAATAGTGTTTTTTTTTTTTTTTCAAAAATTAAATTTCTTTTAATTATGAAAAAAAAAAAAAAACTATTTTCTTAATATTACATTTTAATTTTAATTTTAATTTAACTACATTATATATATGTATATATAGTTTTAAATTTGAAATGTACATTAAGAAAAAAAATAAAAATAATTCGTATAATTCGTTAAATTAATTCGAAATTTAGAAAAAAAAAAAACAAAACTTATATAACGTGCAAAATAACTCAACATTTGAAATTCTTTACAAATTTTAAAGTGAATTATAAATAATTATTTTAGAAAAATTTGTACACAAAAATATTATTTAAATTTATTAAATTTAATGGTGTTTGCTTTTTATTATTACATTAATATTACATACAATATTTTTATGTAGGCATAATTACAATTATAATATGTTCTAATAGTGAAACTGAACAACATATAATTAAAAAAGAATTATGATTTAACAAGGCTTAATCCTTAAAATACAATGACAATAACTTTAATATTTTAAACTATTTTATATATATATATATATATAAAATATATGTTAATGATAATAATTTTTTATACAGTTATATTATCATTAACACATATAGTGAATTTGTTATACAATAATAATATTTGATTTAGATTTAAAAAAATTAAGTAAAAAAAAAAAAAGAATTTATTTAATTATTTTGTAACAATGTACATGTTATGTGTATGCAAATTGTAATTTTTAAATTTGAATGAATTTTATTTTAATTAAGTATGTATTTTTAGTATAACAAATTTTCATGTTTTTTGGCCTTAATTCAGATTTTTCAATTTAAAATATTGGAATTTTCTTAAAGAACTTTTTCAGTTTTAATATTTCATTTTAGAGCCTAAAATTTATCAATTTTATAATTTTCATTTTATTATTCATTCAACTAAATCTATCTCATTCTTAATACATTTAAAGATATTTATGTATATATGTTTTATATAATAATAATAATAAATATAATTTAAATTTATGTATAACAATTAAAAAAAAAAAAATTAATTTTAATTTAATTTTAAAAATTAATTTCTTTAGTTTTTCATTTCATTTATTTATTTTATTTTTCAATATTTTTTTTAACATTTAGTTGAAGCATAAAATCAGCTCTCTAATAGTTCTTCACCAATATCAATTGTTGTAACACGATTACCAATATCTGATGTTGGTAATTGTATATCAGTTTCACTATATGTTGGCATTATAATACATACAAAACCTTGTCCAGTTGTTGAATCTCTTGGATGTAATGTTACTGGTAAAAAACGTTCTGTTTGACCTTCTGTATAATTTTGTAAACGTTGATATATTTCTGGATAATGTTTTTTTAATATAACACCTTTACGATTTAATACATTTACAATATTTTGTAATATTATTTCTTTTTGTTGTTGTGTTGTTTTCTTTTGACAATCAAATGTTAATATTAATATTTCAATTGATGGTTCAGTTGGTTGTAATTGTTGAGAATTTTGTTCTAATGCCAATTCAGATAATATTGTTTTACATAATTTTAATTTGGCACAACGGGATACTAATTGACGTTCCCATTTAACTGGTGCTGTTGCTGTACCAGGTGCTTCTGAAACAACACATATTGCAACATATATTAACATTTTTGTATCTGGTTTATATTCAGTACTTAAACGTAATAATTCTGAATATAATTCTAAACCCATTTCAGCTGGCATTAAATCAGGCCATCTAACATATGATGCTTCACCCATACATTGAAAACCATTTTTAATAAAACCTTCAGCACTCTCTGGACTACGAAATAGTATACGTACAACACCACGTCCTTGAGCTAAATAACCTTTTCTTGCTAATAAACTTAAATGACGTAAAGAGTCTAAGTCATCTTTACAAGCTGATAAAACTTGTCGACAAAGATTTGAGACTCTTGAATGTAAACATGCTTTACGATGTTTCTCCCAATGGGCTCGACGGCATTCTCTTGAACAATACAAATGTGAACAATTATGACAGCTTTTATAAAATTTTTTTGCATCAGCCGGTGTAGCCGAATTATCACATTTTGTATTACGACATTTTATTAATAAATCTGAAGTTCCTTTTGATTCACTTGAATCTAAAGAAACACGACGTGGTGGTTGTTGTTGTTGTAACTGTTGCTGTTGTTGTTGATGTTGCTGTTGTTGTTGTAATTGTTGATTATCAACTTGATTATTAACATCAACATTAAATTTTTGATTTTGTTGTTGTTGATTTTGTTTTTGTTTTTGTGCGTCACCTTCACTTCGTCTACGAAAACGACCTTGTTGCTCAACTTGTAAATTATTCGTTGGTGCCGGTTGTTGTTTTTGGTATGTATGCTGTTGTTGAGTTTGAGTATTATTTGTTACACGAAACATGACCAACTCATTAGCTGTATCGCCTTAAATTCCATTGTCAATTTTGTATTTTATGAAAAATTTTTGTGGGGGGCGGGGGGGGAGAAAAAAATTAAATTATTAATTATTAGTTTTTTTTTTTTTTGAAATATTATTTAGATTTTTTTTTTTGTTGAAAGAACATACATATAAATTAAATATAGTAGGAATGAAAAAGTTTTTAATTAAAATACTTTTTTATTTATTAAATAAATTAAATAAATAAAAACTAAAAAACCAAATGAAACATTTACAATAATATTTTTTTTTAATAAGAATTTTGTAATTGCGTCTCCCAGCATAAACCAAATAAAATTTCAGAAAAAAAAAATTGTATTTGGTATAAACTTTGTTCTTTTTTTCGAAAATTAAAAAAATTCTCCATAAAGCTATTCGAAAAATTGGTCAAAAATTATTTAGCATAAATTTGAGGTTAATTTTTAAATTTTTAGCAAACAAATTTTCTTTTTTTACATTAAAGATGTCAAAAATTGCAATTATAATTTTTTTATATGAATATGGCAATTCTTTTAAATGTCAATGAGTTGCTGGCATGATTATGAAAAAATGTGAAATGAATTTTTAATTATTTTTATTTATAGTTGTATTTATGTAAATATATATATATACATGCTGTCATTATATAACTACATATATACATTCTAATAATTTAATTTTGACCAATTTTTTATGACCAATAAATTTAATTTTATAATATTAATTAATTATGTCAAAAAATCAAAAAAAAAAAAAATTAAAAATTCTTTGTGTTTTGTTGAAAAATTTTTTTCTGTGTATTTTGTTTTTTTTTTTTTATTTTATTTTTGTATGTTTCCATAATTTATTTATTTATTTAATTTGCAAGTCTATATTTTTTTTTTCAAAGAATTGGCAATGATTTATTATACTTATTGTTCTTTTTTTTTTTTTTTGTATTTTATGTTTATTTATGTCAAAATGGAACATAACTTACAGGTTCATACCTGTGGACCTATATGTGTTGGAAGAATCGGATGGTGGTAATCCCAACAATGATGCTAATACATCTTCTAATGATGCTGAACTAGGTGAACGTTCTAGGGCTGTCGATAATGCTGCTAAGGGTGTTGGCACTATATATCGATATATTTTTTGTTTTTATTTAATTTTTTTTTTTCTTGCTTTTGTATTTGTTTTTGAATTTAGCATTATTTTTAATACTATTTATATTATAAATTATAATACTGTATTAAAAATTTAAGAATATTATTAAATTATTAAATTATTGATATATTTATATGATTACATGGACATTTTCCAGTATGTTTGCAATTGATGCTAGTTATAAATCCAAGACGCTATAAATTTCAATATACGTTGTCAACGCAATTGACAGTCATTTCATTTTCTCTTTGCTTTTTCTTAAATGTAGGTATAAGTAATGATAATAAAATTCTAATATGTCAATTGTAAAAATTTTTTCAATATTGATTTCTATTGATTGTCATTTACGAAAACCAGTGATTGATATGATTGACATATAATTGTCAAATCTTTGACATACTGGAAATGACCTATTTTATTATATACTATATTTTATATAATATACGATATAATAGTAAAGTTAATTATAAATTTTCAATATATATATATAGAAATTATTAAAATATTTTTCATATTATATATTAAATATTACGTATGTTATTTATTATAATAGAGATACAAGGTGATTAATTAAAAAAAAAAAATTTAATATTGAAATTACAGTTATATTATTAAAATGGTATTATAGAAAAGAAGCTAAAATAGTTTTCAAATTGTGATGAATTAGTATAAGTATAATTAATTTTAAAAAGAATTAGCGCTCACATTATTTTATTTTTTTTTAAAATAAATCTATATAATATATATTTGATATTATAATTAATTAGATATAATAGAATGGTGATGATTATAAAAGCGATATTGATTTTATTTTTTTTTTAAATTTATGTACGAAATAAATAAAATAAATTAATTTTGGTGATGATTTTTTTATTATTGTGTTTTATTTTTTGTGTAATAAATAAATTTTTTTTGTAAATAGTAAAAAATAATAAGGTTAATTAAGATTAAAGAAGAAATATACTTGTACTTTTTTAAGTAAAAAAAAAATTATTAGCAAAAAACAAAAATAAAAAATTTATATAATTTCTAATTTATAAAATATTTCAAAAATCTAAATTAAAAAATAAAGAAAAAAAGAATTATAATTAATAAAATAATTTTTACTTTGGAAATGTTTTTCTTAGATACTTTAATAATTTTATTTTTTTGAGCAGACGCCTTTTATTAAGTTTAAATATTTTAATTATTGAAATATTTATATGAATATTAGAACATAACGCGAACCTATTTGATTACAAAAATTTTTATCGTACACGTTTGATTTAATAAAAGTTTTATCGAACATGTTTGATCAAACAACAAAAATTGCCAGTAACATATTCGATCAGGAAATGAATTACTTTCAAATAGCACGTTTAGAATTTGAATATTATTTGGATTCAGGCTGATATGCAATTTTTAGTTTTGCAATTACTGCTTAATTGTAAAATCGTGGCTCGCACATCTAAGCAACTATACTATTGCATCAATTCAAATAGATTGCATTAATTAAATAATGCAATTAGTTTATAAAAAAAATTACAAACTGTTTGATTACTTATTTGCATGCGATAATACAGTTGCATGTGTGCACGTTTCAAAATAGTTGCAAAACTAAATATTGCAACTTCTGTCACGGCTCATAGACGCAATAATTTCATTATTATTATTATGATTATATTAATATAATTATTATTATAATCACTAATTTTTCAACGAACAATTTCTTTTTTAATTAAAGATTATTAATCTTATAAAGATAAATATATATAAATCTATTTATCAAATTAAAAATACTAAAATTAAATATTAAGAAATTAATTATTAAGAATTGAATATTAAGAATTACAATATAATTTTAGAAAAATAGCAAAAAATAAAATATGAAATTAATTAAAATTTTGAACAAAATTATTACGAAAATCTCTAAATATTTGAAAATATAAAAATAAAACGAACGAACATAACATTACTTGAAAAACTAAATTTTTACCCTGACATAATTCAAATTAGAAAACAAAATTATTACAAAACAAAAAAATAATTATTGAAATAATAATTTATTAATAAATTGATGTATCAATTAGTATTGGTTAGACAAAGTTTAAAAATCAAACATTATTGATCATTGATTTTGTTTGATAAGAGAATTGTATGATGTTGTTTTATTTCAATCAGACAAAAATACAAGAACGTTTACACATTTTAATCATATCAAACAAAATCCATGAACAAAGTTTGATAGTATAATCTCTGACTTATTTGAAAAAATTATTTAATATATTCTTTTAAATTTTCGTTTTTTTTTATATTACAAACAGATTACAATATTAATCATTGTTAATGTATGGGAAATAAAATAATTAAGCTATATATATATAAATTAATTTATGTTAGATAAGCCAACAAAGCTTTCAATATAAAATATATATTTTAATTAATTTATCAAAAATTATTTTTAATATTAATAAATTTTTTTGGGCGCAAATACGGGAAACAGAAACTAATATATATTAATTTTAGTAATAATATTTGATTAATATATAATTATATGTAGTATATAAAACCTGTAGTATGTTATTTTGTAGAAAATTAAATTAAATTTGTTTTTTTTTTTTTTGTTAATTAATTATTTGTTAGTATTTGAATAATGTGAAAAACAAAAATGGAAAAAAAAATAACAAGTTATATACAAATATATTTTTGAAGACGCAATTACAAATACTGTTAAAAAATATTTATTATAAGAATAATAATAGTTATATAATATTTATATAAAAAATAAATAATTAAAATTAAATAATATTTTTTTAAAATATTAAATAAAATTAGTATACAAAATAAAACTTATATAGTATAAACATTGATATACATAATTCTATATAATAATTAAATAAATAAAATAAAATTTGTAAATTTTTAAAATTAAAAATTTAAATTAAATAAATAAATACAGAAAATAAAATTAGTGTATACATAATTAAATTGATTTTTTAAGATATTAATTACGAAGAAGCGAAATATTTAAATTTTTTTTTTTTATTTTCAATATATATATATATATGTAATAATAAATGTTTATAATTTAATAATAAATATTAAAGCTGTTATACAAAGTGTAAAGTTTTTGTATTAAGTGCTTTGTGAATTTTTTAAGTGTAATACTAATGGTGTTTAATGTGTAGTTATAGTGTAGTAATGATGAAATAATGAAAATAATTAATCCAAAATTTATATGATTAAATGATTGTAATTTAATATACATTTAATATTGAATATTATTTTATATTGCTTATATATTATATTGCGATTATATACAGGACACAGCACAAAATAAATAATCAATTTAAATAACAATACTATTGTGAATTTTTTAGATATTTACACATCAAACTAATGATAAAGAGCAATTTTTAACTCTTTTTGTTTTTTTCTTGTGTATTACATTCAAAAATTATAAATTAATTTTTGATTTCCTAAACAAGATTAAATAGTTCTTAACCACTTTTTATAATAAATTAATATTCACAGGAAATCCGTGAAATATTATAAATTGTGAACTATTGATTGAGAATTTTTAATATTTTAAATTATAATACTAAAATATTTTTAATCTACGATTGAATATATTAATTTTAATGTGGTTAAAAATTTATGATCTTTTTGTAAAAATTCGTCTGTCACACAGATAATATCAAATTATTAGCTCATCTTATTAATAATCACTTTATATATAACATTATATTTAAATATGTAGTATTAAACTTTAAATACAATCATAATATGAAATTATAAAATATGAGCTTCAAAATTGCAGTAAAATGATATTAATATTTTTACGATTGCCAAATATTCAGCTTATAAGTTCATTATATAGCAATGCAGTTTTATTACAATTTTGAAATCACCCTATATTGTAAATGTAATCCTTATAAATATAATTTGATAAACACTACTTTGTGTGCTCAATTTCTTTTTGAAGATAAAACTCAAAAGCAAAAATCAAAGTAATAATGAGCCTATTTAGACGAGTACGCATTGAGCGTTTGTGATTGAGACGAGTACGCATTGAGTACCCTTTTCTTTTATGCTTGTGACACATACGCTCAATGCATATAATACGTGTAAATATGGCCCAGTCCAATGAGCTAAAATTGAAAAAAAAAAAAAACAATTAAAATATGAAAAAATCTACAAAGTAATAATTGATAAATTGTAATAAAAATTAAAAAATAAAACAAGCATAATTTGAAAATATCAAAAAGAAAAAAAAAAACATTTATTTCAACTTTTTTTTTTTTTTAATAAATTTAAAAATTAATATTAAAATTATTAATGTGATATTAAAATGTTTTTATATATATAAGTAATTATATTTTAATTTATTTCTCTTTTTTTTATGCATATAATTTATTTTATATGTATATATGCGTTTATGTATAAAAATTTCACATTACTATATTATATAAATTACGATTAAAACACATACATATAAGGGTATTACGATATTTTTAATTAATATTAATATATATAATTAATATTTTTCATTTTTCTTGTAATTTAAAACTATATAGTAATAGAGATAATATGATTCGTGAAACAAAATTATATTATTTAAATTTAAAACAAGAAAATTTTTTATATATAATATTATATAATGTATGTACATAATAATAAAACATGTATTATAAATTAGGAATTAATTAAAGAAAAAAAAAATAATAATATATTTTTATAGAAGAGTTTTGAAAATCTAATATAACATAATAATGTGCGTGTATATAATTTATAACTTTGATTAAAATTAATATTAAAATAAACGACAAAAAAAAATTTTATTACAAATAATTATAATTAAAATAAAAAAAAAAAAGGTAATTATAAATTATAATTAAAATTAAATTATATTCACAATTAAAATATAATTTTAATTAATATAAAAATATTATATTAATATACGCATATTGTATACTTATTATTTAAAATT